TGATCGGTAATTAGTTTGTGCATGATCCTGCAGTTATCGGAAATTAGTTTGTGCACGATCTTCATGCGTGCAGATCATTTTAGTTACAATACCATCGGTGAGCAACTGAGTCTTGCCAAGATTCAGGAAACCAAAGATTAAATCCTACATTAGGGCCTTTGAGATTCCTTGCTAAAATGACTCTTTTTAATGCAGATACATAGTCTCTAATGGCTGTGGAAGGGTTAAGTGTGCTTGACAACCAAAAAAAGATTATGTTCCACATTCATATTTAATTGCTCACAGGTTCTCTCATTAACTTACACTGTTGCAAAGTGAATTCTGTTGGAGGGCTTTCCATAGCCCATCAGTTCCTGTCACCTCCATATTTTCTTATGTCACAAAGTTCAAGGTGTGGTAGGAAATTTGCTATCCATCTCCCACCCTCCACGTGTAAACAAAGGTAAATGTTTGTTGAGCTGACTCATGTAACTTTTGCTGTTTCCCACTGATCTCTCATTAAGAGGCCCTACCAAATTCACAACCATGGAAACACGTCACACTGTGAAATCTAGTGTCCCGCCCATGAAATCTGGCCTTCTGTGTGCTTTTACCCTATTCTATACAAATATCACAGGGGAGATGAATGTTTCTCAAACTGGGGGTCCTGACGCAAAGGGAGTTGCAGGAAGGTCACAGTACTTCCACCCTTACTTCTGCACTGCCTTCAGATCCACACAGCCAGGGAGTGGCATCCGCTGACTAAGTTTGTAATTCATTAATCGTGTAATCAACAAAAATTGTATCAACTACATGTTTAGTCGACAAGAGTTAGTACTGCAAGCATTCAGTCCCAGCTTGCACCAGGCCCGGGCGCTACTCCCCACTTCCCTCGCAGCGCAGCATTAAAACTATTTCAGGAGCCGAGCAGCCTGGCTCAATCCCGGCTCAAATCAGGTCCCATCCTGGGAACTACCCACTCCCATTCTCTTTCGCCTCCACTGTGGCGCTGCATTAAAACTATTTTAGAAGCCAAGTGAGTAGGCAGCCCAGTTTAGTCCCAGCTTACACCAGGTCCCTGGAGCGACCCCCAACAGTGGGTAGCTCCCAGGACCTGGCACGAGCTGGGCTGCTTGCTCACTCAGCTCCTAAAATAGTTTTAATGAGCTGCAGTGAGGGTAGCTCCCTGGACCCAGCACCAGCTGGAACTGAACCAGGCTGCTGGCCAGCCCTCAAAAAGAAAAAAAAAATTATTGGGAGGGAATGCATGTAGGTCAAAAGCATGCTTATCGGTTAATCGACTACACTATTACATCCCTACAGCTGACTGATGGCCCTGCTCTGCAAGCAGCAGAGCACAGGTAAGGGTAGGTATTCTATTCCATGCTATCCTAACTTCTGTGCTGCTGCTGGCGGCAGCTCTGCCTGCAGAGCTGGGCTCCTTTCCAGCAGCTGCCACGTTCCAGTTGCCCAGCTCTGAAAGAAGTGCTGCCGGCTGCAATAGTAAGGATAGTAATCCCCCAAAATAAACCTTTGGGATGCCTACAATTTCACCACCATAAAATTTCAGATTTAAATAACTGAAATAATGAAATTTACTGTTTTTAAAATCCTATGACTGTGAAACCTGACCAAAATGAAACATGAATTTGGTAGGGCCCAACTCATTGGGGCACCCTTTGCATAGATACATATTGACATTCTGGAGTGTTCCCAACTGCAAGAACATTTTAAAACTCCAAACTGTTCACCTCACTGAAATCCTAAACTTGGCCACATTAGTGCACCAAATTGCATACAGAGACCTCTTCTCTTGTACAGTGTCTTCAACTCTACTTTAGTTACCCCTATTATATAATGAAACTATGTGTTTACCACACATGAACCACAGTATTAAGATTGCGAAACGAGACTTTGAGACAAGGGCATTCACTTTTCCTTTTAAGAGTTATTCATTCTCTGGCATTCTGTAAGATTGTGAAATTATAGGTCATTGCTATAGAACACACGTGATGCTAATGCAAGGTGTGAGTAAGTTACAGTGTGTCCTGAGGAACACGTGAACAAAAGAAAACTGGTTGCTATGATGAAGAGTGGAACTCAATGCTGCCCCATTTAGTATGGGCACAGGACACTTTTGCAGAACAACATGGAATGATTTGGAAATTCCTTCTTTGTCTTAACAAGAATAATGGCAAGCATGGGTAAAAAGGTTTAACAAAACCAATGGAGATTTGTTCAGGAGAGCTGGGAAACCATTTAGGAAGAACTGCAGTCACGTGTACAATTTCTGTCCTGATCAAGTATACAAATTCATTCCTGTCAAAGTTCTCTACTCCATTTCTGGTTCTCAGGGAATGGAGATGGCAAAGAATTTTCCCTCGATGTTCTAAAGTATTTTACATGTTCAAGAAAAGATGACTTTTTTGGTAAAGAACACTTTTTTTCATTCTAATACTCATTTCAAGGCCTTTGAAGCAGGGGCAGGGATGTCCTTAGGATTTATGGGGCCTTAAGCAGTATTATTAAACTGGTCCCCCTCTGTCCAAAGGCAGATCAGGGAGTAACAATTAATTAGAGATGTGAGTTTATAATCTTCAGCAATATTCTAATGAAATATTTAAAGCAAGTTTTAAACTAAGGTCCTGAGATGAACACAGTAAGTTCAGAAACCAGAATATACCTGGTGTTGGCAAATGCTTGTTAAATGGCTTCATTACCACCTGAATGACTCTTTCAGTTTTAATGTCTGCTAAAAGTGGAAAAGCCTGCCAGACTTAAGTTAACTAGATCATCTCTGGAGAAGTCAGAGCAACAGAAGAGGGACAGGAACAGGCAACTGAGTGGACGTTAACATCCAGTGGTGCCTCACATTTTTTGGTGCTCTACACCACTGTTTCTCGACCTTTTTTTTTTTTTTTATAAAGTACCTCTTTTTAAAAAATTATAAATACCCCCAGTTTTTAGACACACACATTTTTTCTCCCATTGCAACACATTTGTTTATACAACTTAATTGTAGCTAGGTGGACGAGGAAATTTTTGGGCGTAAAAAATACAAAAATAATAAAACGCTGTAAAACTTAAAACAAAAATTCAGTTTTCTCTAAATTTCAGTTGTGTTGGCATACCCCCAAGACTTTTCTCAAATACCACGAAGGGTACTCATACCACTGGTTGAGAAACACTGCTCTACACGACTATACATTCTGCATATTGATAAGGATGGCTCTGGGCAGAAAATTCCAGGATAGGAAAAGGAAGCCATGCAGATGTTTGAGCTAGTAAGAGCTCCATAACACTTCAATTGGGAGCAAAAGTCAATATCACTTCCAGAGAGGTCACTGGCTAAATACACAGTTAATTAATAGGGATATTATTAAAGCTAGGAATTCTGAAAGCATAACTAAGTGTTGATAGTTTGCCTTCCTGTTGGAGTATCAGAATCAGGACATGCAAACAGGCTTGTACCCCAGCCCCCAAAAGCAGCCCTGGATTTGTCATTGTGATGACTCAACTGAGATGTTACTTTATGTTCCTGCCTTCATGTTGGAAGAATTTTAAATTTCAGAATCAAGTGAATGCAAAGTGATTCTCTTGAAGAGGCAATTCAACTCTGGGTCTATTGTTTTGAACAGTCTTTCTTTAAAAGTGAACACCTACCATTAAAATCTCATCCTGCAGATATATGTCAAGTGCCCTAAATGGAAACAGTAAATAGGTATTCAGTACACAAACAGACTGAGGGGGAAAAAGCTACTTCTATACCTACCAGAAGTCAGTATTGTTTTTAAGCCTCCACTTCACTTTAGAATGGCCACACACTTAACTCAGGAGAACACTCTTAGATGTAGCCAGCCGGGAGTGAAGTCATTGTTAAATACTGCACTACTGCTACACAGACTATTATGTTGGAAGCTAGGATATTCTTGTAGGTCCCCTTTAATAAAGGTGTCATGAAGAATGAAGAAATTCTATAGAAATTAGAACCCACATCAGAACATCTGCACCTCCTGCTTACACATCTTGATGGCAACATTACGGTGCATCTGTCCTAGGAGAATCACCTCCTGATGCTGCGACAAGGAGTCCTGTAGCACCTTATAGACTAACAGATGTATTGCAAAGTTTTCGTGGGCAAAGGTCCACTTCGTCAGATGCATGTAGCAGAAATTTCCAGAGGCAGATATAAATATGCAGGCAAGAATCAGGCTAGAAATAATGAGGTAAATTCAATCAGGGAGGATGAGGCCCACTTCTAGCAGCTGATCTGGAGGTGTGAACACCAAGAGAGGAGAAACTGCTTTTGTAATTGTCTAGCCATTTACAGTCTTTGTTTAATCCTGAGCTGAGGGTGTCACATTTGCAGATGAACTGCAGCTCAGCAGTTTCTCTCTGAAGTCTGGTCCTAAAGTTTTTTGGCTACCTTTAAATCTGCTATTATGTGTCCAGGGAGATTGAAGTGTTCTCCTACAGGGAGACTGAAGTGTTCTCCTGATACTGAAGGAGTGCAGGGTTCCCTGCTGAAAAGTGCAGGAGAAAAGTGTCCTAGAACCGAGTGCTCTATAGCCAGACATGCATAATACTAGGCTCATTCCCTACATGAGGAACTTTTTCCTTTAAAGCTACAGATTCCCAAAAAGAGCAGTCTCAGTTATACTGTCAATGGGTAACCAAAGAGGATACATTTAGATATGGGTGTCAAAGTTCACTTGCTTATTTGTAGAATTAACTTTTTGGGGTTCAAGTACAACACAGGCTGAGAAATCAAAACAAACAGTTGAGTCAATATTTTGACAGATGTCATCAGTCCTGTACCAAGTGCAGAATGGATAGGAAAGAAATAGAAGAATAAGGGCTTGTGTAAAACCACTGCTTCTAGGATACACCGGAAATGATGGCATTACAGAGCATTAAACAACAAAAGAAACATAAAAACAAGATGTTCCATGGTTTTCAAGGGTGCTCCCTCAGGAGTCTGGGTCCTCTCGACCAATAATTAAATGTTGAGAAATATTTACCTCCGCCTCTGCTACTAGCTGCATTTTCTTTGTTATCACATGGTCAACATCAACCCAGCCTAAAGGAGAAAAAGTAAATATTGAACAGTTACATTTTCAATAGATATGACTTGGCCAATCCTATGCTCAGAATCACAGACAAAAGGAAAAGCTTACGAGAACTCTTACAAACTTGATTTACCATTAACTTTATCTATGATGAGCCAAAGGCCCCCATTAAGCTCAGGAGTGACTAAGCTGTAGGAAAATGTAGAAGTCAGGAAGGAGCATTCTGGTGTGTTATGTGGATAGTGATTTTATCAAACACAAATGCTGAAAGACAGGCTCCCAGTAACTTCATAGGTGTCAAATATTCTCCCTCCACCCCCAACACCAAGTATTTTTAAGCTTCACTAGGAGCCAAAGAGCACTCCCTAACACCTTTAAAATACAAGTTGGGAGCTTACATTCATACCATAATAAGACCATCATTTTAATGTCTAAATATGCTGTATTTATGGCTTATTACTGAAGTCTGAAACCCACTAACCCCTCTCCTCACACAATATCTGATGTCTCACAATATGTTAATTGTTTATGCTAAACAATCTAAATCATCTTATATTTAGCTATGATGCTCTTAGTACTTTCCTGTACCTAAAGAGATTGGTCCATTAACTCACCCACCTTGATTCTCTAATATCCTGTAACTAATACAGACAAAAACTATAGATAATGGGAAAAGATGTAATATAACACAAATACTCCACATCTGTTACAACAATAACATGTTCTCCCATGCATAATTGAGCCACTATCTCTTGTTGATTCTGCAGTTCTCTTGCTATAGTGCTATTCCAGTTTCTGGATGTCTCTTATATTGGGTGTAAAGATCTTCACGAAAGTGATAAGGCTTTAAATGCATGATAACAAGCATTACAGTGACTGCAAAAGTCACAAATACAAGCACGAAAGAGATTACATTTTGATGAGCTGGTTAGAAACGGGTCTCCCTTTAGTAAGGTGAAAAAAAATACAGAGAAATAAATAATGGCCTAATATTTTAACACTGGATTGTTTGGGGGAGGAGGCTGAAGATTGGTTACTACAGGTTGAACCTCTCTAGTCCAGCACTCTGTTCCAGGAACATCCATGGTCCAGCATGATTTTAGTTAGCTGGATGTCCACTTATCATGGATGTGGCCACATTTCCCACAGTCTCAAAGTTTGTTTGCAGCCACCAGTCCTGGCTCTCAGTGTTCTGTCCTGCTATTTAGCTCTAATTTACCTCTAAATGTCTATTAAGAGCCTAGTTAGCAGCGGAAGTGTTGATAATGCTGCTAGACATTGACTTCTTGTGGTCTGGCAAACTCTCTGGTTAGATCTTGAGGATGCTGGATTAAAGAGGTTCAATCTGTATTACTGATATAACAGGTATCACGGAAACACAGTAATAGGTAGGGTTGCCAGATGGTTTCAGAAAAAATACCGAAAAGAAAGGGAAAGAAAAGGAAGGGAAAGGGGAAAAAAAAAAAAAAAAAAAAAAAAAAAAACCCCAACCCCCCACACAAACCCACAAACCCCCACCCACCCCCAAGCCACACAGAGTATCCAAAAGTCACTTCTCCACCTCTCCCTTGGCTGCTCTAGAGCTTAGCCCGAAGGCCGATAAACTCTACTCTCCTACCCAACAACCTCTGGGACTCCTCTCCCGCCCAGCTCCTCACACCATGGAGAGTGCAGGGCAGCCACTAACCCAGCATCACCACTTCTGGTCTGCGCCTAATGGGACAGCTCCCCCAGTAAGCACTAGGGTTGCCAGGCGATTGTCTGGTTCAATACCAGACACCTGGCAACCCTAGTCATACCAGGGTACAAAATAGATCAGAAGGACAGAACAAGTCATGCTGGTGGGGGAGCAGCACTATACGTGAAAGAAAATGTAGAATCAAATGAAGTAAAAATCTTAAATGAGCCAAAAATGTTCCATAGAATCTCTATGGATATTGGAGCATGGAATTACTAATAAGAATATAGCAGTGGGGATATATTATCAACTACCTGATCAGGACAGTGATAGTGACTATGAAATGCTAAGGCAGATTAGAGAGGCTATCAAAATAAACTCAATAGTAGTGGGGGATTTCAACTATTCCCATATTGACTGGGTACATGTCACCTCAGGATGGGACGCAGAGATACAATTTCTTGATTCATTAAATGACTGCTTCTTGGAGCAGCTGGTTCTGGAACCCACAAGGGGAGAGGCTATTACTGATTTAGTCCTAAGTGAAGTGCAGGATCTGGTTCAAGAGTTAAATGTAACGGAACTGCTTGGAAATAGTGACCATAATGTAATAAAATTTAACATCCTTGTGTTCGGAAAAAACACCTCAGCAGCCCAACACTGTATCATTTAATTTCAGAAAGGGAACTACACAAAAATGAGAAAGTTAAGCAGAGATTAAAAGATACAGTGACAAAAATAAAATCTGCATGGAAACTTTTCAAAGACACCATAATAGAGGCCCAACTTAAATGCATACCACAAATTAAAAAACAAAGTAAGAATCAAAAAGCGCTACTGTGGCTTAACCTCCAAGTAAAAGAAGCAGTGACAGATAAAAAGACATCTTTTAAAAAGTAAAACTCAAATCCTAGTGAGGAAAATAGAAAGGAGCATGCACTTTGTCAAATTAAGTGTAAAAATATAATAATGAAAGCCAAAAAGGAGTTTTAAGAACAGATAGCCAAAAACTCAAAAATTCGTTTTTAAGTACATCAGAAGCAGGAAGCTGGCTAAACAACCAGTGAGGCCCTTGGACAATCAAGATGTTAAATGAGCATTCAAAGATGATAAAGTCATTGTGGAGAATCTAATTTAATTATTTGCTTCTGACTTCACGGCTGAGGATATTCCTAAACCTGAGCCATTCTTTTTAGGTGACAAATCTGAGGAATTGTCCCAGATTGAGGTGTTTTTGAGGAGATTTTGGAACAAACTGATAAACTTAACAGCAACAAGTGACCTGATGGCAAGAGAAAGATCATTGTGGATAATTCTCTGAAAACTCAGTGTGCAGCGGCAGTCAAAAAAGCAAATCGAATGCTAGGAATCATTAAAAAAGGCAGAGAGAATAAGACAGAAAATATCATATTGCCTCTATGGTACACTCACATCTTGAATACTGCGTACAGATGTGGTTGCCTCATCTCAAAGATATATTGGCAGTGAAAAAGGTTCAGAAAAAGACAACAAAAATTATTAGAGGTTTGGAACAGGTCCCATATGAAGAGAAATTAAAAAGACTGGGACTTTTCAGCTTAGAAAAGAGGAAACTAAGGGGGGATATGATAGAGGCCTATAAAATCATGACTGGTATGGAAAAAGTGAATAAGGAAAAGTTATTTATTTATTCCCACAATATAAGAACTAGGGGGTCACCAAATGAAATTAATAGGCAGCAGGTTTAAAATAAACAAAAATATTTTTTTTCTTCACTCAGTGCATAGTCAACTTCTGGAACTCCTTGTCAGAGGATGTGGTGAAGGCTAGGACTTTTAACAGGGTTCAAAAAAGAGCTAGATAGATTCATGGAAGTTAGATCCATCAATGGCTATTAGGCAAGATGGGCAGGAATGGTGTCCCTAGCCTTTGTTTGTCTAGAAATGGGTGACAAGGGAGGGATCACGTGAGGATTACCTGTTGTGTTCCCTCCCTCTGGGGCATCTGGTATCGGCTACTGTTTGGAGACAGGTTACTGGGCTAGATGGACCATTGGTCTGACCCAGTACGGCCATTCTTATGCTTTTATTAAAATGTCTTTAAACCTATTTGCTAAGACCCTTTTGATTAATAAATAACTTGTGTCGTTGAAGTACTTTTTACTTAAAAAAGGAGCAGCATGTTAATGTCTCATTGTTTGGAGGGTTGTGTGTTGCCAATGAACTATTGTCCCATTTCTACTTAGGCAGTCTGAATTAGTTGCAAGATTAGGATGAGAGAACTATAGAAAAGGCCCACACAGATGCATGTGGCCTTCTAAAGGTTGTTTATCACTGTTTCAGGGTTGGCCAAGTTTAGGGACCTTGGCAAGACTTATGTAGTTGCCAAAAAAAAAGGTTTCCAAAAGCCAAAATGTTATCAGTTGTTCCCATTCTTTACCATTTAGTGTCCTTACTTCCAAAGGAGATTGTGTTCATTAGTGAGTGAGTAAATAGAAATGGGCACTGTGCCTGGCAGAAATGCAATTCTTGCATAGCAAGGCCTTGATTATTCCATTATGTAAATACCAGAAAAAACACCTCCCATCTGTTTTGCTCCAACATATTTTATAATACTCTATTTAAATGTTCACTGCTATAGTTCTTGCAGGAGAACAAGGAATGTAGCCAACATTTTTCTTTTTGTGCAACTCTATAGTAACATACCTGTGTGCATACATAATGGGGGGAAGATTTCTAATCTGATATGCTTCAGAGCAAGTCTTCCAAAAGATTGTTAAAAATATGCCTAACAGACTCTTTCCTTTTATGCACAGTGGTAAATAGTGTTTTATGGGTGTCTCTGAATGCTGTTGCCTAAGCTCATCATAAATATGTATAAGCATCCTGGTGTATTTTTCCCCACTGAGTTTTATTTCCAAATTGCAAGGAATCTGTCAGATTTTGTCTTTTGTGCTTATTGCCAAGATCTGCTGGCACCTGGTGTTACTATGGCGGCCCAAGTTCACTTTGTCTTGCAGTCAGTGTGACTTGTTACTTAGATTGTTACCTCTTTGCTGCAAGAAATTTTTGTTTTTGTTTTTTTGTGCTAGGTGCTATACAAACATGGAACAATGGGGTCCTGGACCACAGTTGGGGCTCCTATGTGCTATGATAATACAAACAAATGACATAGTGCAAATGATTTTAGGTTATGGTTAGCAGTTGGAAAAAGTAAGTTTCAGAAATCTAGCATTAGAATAATCTAATACAGTTGTGGGCAACCTGTGTCTTGGGGGGGGGGCCAAAAAACATTTTGTTTGTTGCTGCCCACGTGTAAGGTTGCCAGATTGCACTGGTTTCTGTCTGTATTGTT